AGAGGTCTTCAGGTCTCCCAGCACTGTTCGTATCGCAGACACAGGCAGGACCAGGCCCCAGGTCCCTGGGCCAGGCGTCAGGATAAAACCATGGTAGTCCAGAGCAGGGTGCCTTCGGGCCTATACACAGGACAGTGTGGCCAGCCCAGCCGTACAGACCTGGTGCACCTGCAGGGCTCCCCGGACACCCAGGGCGGGGTCGCATGTCAGGCTGCACTGTGGTCGGGTACTACTCCGGGAGCTGGACCCCTCTGCAGGCGGGTTAATAACCATAGTGATCGTGGTAGCCGTAATACTCAGTGCCCGCCCAGGCCACCTGCCCCAGGCACTCCATGGTTTGCTTCTGGCTGATTCTTCTGGTACTGGGTAGGGGCCTCTGGCCTCTGAGGAACCGGTGGGTGCAGTGCAGGTGCTGCCCTGCACCTCTCCTGCTGGAGCAGAGCTGGGCAGGCATCTCCCACACAGGACAGGCGGCCTTGGGTTCAGCACACCCTTTGTGCGGAGCCCCATCAGAGAGCCTGCCGTGGTCACATGACTTCCCGAAGCCCTAGGGCAGCAACTTCCTCAGCCAAAAACTGGGACAGTGATGTCACCAGCACCTGGGACTTCAGGAAAGTCTACACCCAGCCCGCTGCGCAGAGCCGGGGATGCCTGGGGACTCATCCCTCTTTCGTGTCCCCAGCCCTAGTTTGGGCAGTTGAGTTCTCCATTTGCTGGGCCCTCTTCCTCAGGTCAGTCTCATGGAACTCTGATTTCACAGTGCACGGTAGCTTAGCACCTTTAGAACCAGGCCTCGGGCCTGTGTCACCAAATTCTCTGCTTCGCACCACTTCCGGTCCTATCTGTCTACACCCGAGTAAGTGGCTAATACAGAGACCCCCCGGGCCCCTGAGTGTAGATCACTTAAGTCCCGCCGCCCTGAGCCCTGTTGTGACCCCCCAGCCAGTGTCCTTCAGGGTTTTGGTCTTGCCACCTCCCCAAGCCCAGGTCCCCATGAGACCAACAGTGCCACCGTGGGCCTGGTCGACGTATCGGAGCTGGGAGTATGGAGTGAAGCCCCTCCCAGAACTGCTAGAGGTGGGAGAGGCAGGTCGGGTCCTGGCTCCTGGGTGCCTGAGCACCTGGTGTGCACCTGCTGTAAACCACGTTGGGGGCAGACCTGTCAGGGAGCCTGAGTGCTTTGCCTAAGTGGCAGCAAGGTGGAGCCCGGGAGGGCAGACAGGGTGGGGGAGACGGGCAGTCAGGCCCCCACGCCCCCCACACGGTACTCACACCATGTGTCTCCAGTGCCCCCAGGTCCCCAAGCTGGGATTTGCAGGTTGCTCGTGACCCGAGGGGTTGGTGGCAGCCTGCTGGAACCACCATGGCATTCTTAGCAGAGGAAATCCCAGAGGCCACCCTGTTGATCCCAGGCCCTGCAGCCCCACCCCGGGGACGGCACACTTGGGGACTGCAGTACAGGCTGGCAGCACCGCGCAAACCTAGCTCTCATCTCCGGGGACAGCGAGGACACAGGCGGCAGTGACAGCCAGGCAGGGAGAGGTAGGCCTGTGTGGCAGGTGCGCACAGTGGGAACCAGGCACAGGTTCCAGGGCAGCAGGCTTGTGTGTGGATGCCGAAACTGATTTCCCTTTTCACAACAAATCGTGTCAATGAGGTGCCCTGGGGGGGCCGAGGTGGCGGTCTTGTGTCACTCCATGTGGTTACCCTTGGTCCCAGGCCTGGTGTCACTGCCTTTGATTTAGAGAGGAAAGCAGTGGCCGCCCTGCTGAGTGCCCACTGTGTGCCAGGCACGGGCTTTCAGCCTGACATGGTCACCTTTTTCTTTTGAGGTAAGGTCATGTGACATGGTCCAGGCTGGCTTTGAACTTGCAATCCTCCTGCTTCAGCCTCCTGAGTAGTGAGTGGCTGGGATTACAGGTGTGCACGACCATGCCTGGCTTGTACTCTTCAACACCCTAGGCAGTGGGCACTGTAAATGCCACTGTCCTTCGGTAGCTGCAGAGACCCGGCCCAGAAGGCAGGACAACTTGCCTGGAGTCTCCCTCCGGGAGCTGCAGGGTCGAGCCCGGCTACCTGGCCCCTGACCCAGCTCTGTCCCCTCCCCTGGCTGGCAGGCCACCTCCTCTCAGGACCCTGCAGGATCCCGCTCCATCAGCCACTCTCCAACCCTCTACAGTGCCTCGGAAACCAAACCCCGAGCAAGCCCTGCCTCTGGTCCCAACAGCCACAGCCCCCGCCTGCCTTTCTCTCCACCCGCCGGTGCTTCACACGCCGGGCGCCGGCGCCAGCCAGGGAGGGGAGCGACGCGGGCTGGCATTCTGTCAAGGAATTAATTGAAAAATAAAATCATTAGGTGGGAACTCCAGAAATGCAGAATTGGTGGTTGGAGGTTGGGGGGGCTGGGGGCAGGACTAGGGGGTTGTTGGGGGACGGCTGAGCTTTTGTCAAGTTAATTTCTCGGGTATTGATGTTTGGTGACATTCATTTGTTGTTTATCTTCGGGTGCAGCTGTAATACTGAAAGAAAATGCACAGCTTGTTTCATTTATTTATTTTACACCTTTCTCTGATTCTGCATTATGTTTGTTTGGTGAAACCCACTGAGCCTTTTGATGTCGGGACGTGGGACTTCGGCAGCTGGTGCAGGCGCACGGGAGGCTGTGTCTGCAGTGGGGGGTCTGCCTGAACCCCACTGCAGACTCGGTCAGCTCACACCGCACTGGTCCTAGCACTCTGCATCCATGCGGGGTGGGCCAGGAGCTGGGTAAGGGAGCTGGTGGGTGCTCTCCTTGAGGGGGAAGCTGTTCTTGGCCTCCTCTCTGCTTCTTTTTGTCTTCAGCAACATGAACTCCTGACCCTCAGCTTTCCCTGTCCTTCATTCAGTCACTCAGCAAACACTGCGCATCCAGTGTGCTGGGCTCCGCCCTCTTGGGCAGAGAGGTCCAGGGAGAAACAGCAGGGCAAGCCCTGGGCTAGGCCCGAGCTCCACCACTGAGCGGCACCCTAGGCCTTTTTCACTTCATTTTGAGATAGGCTGTCCCTGTGTAGCCCAGGCAGGCACAATTCCGAACATCCTCCTGCCTCTGCCTCCCATGAGGCCGAAAATCAGGTGTGTACCACCAGGTCCAGCTTGGATCTGTCTTAGCGCTTGACCTTAACAAATGGGTAGAAAACACGCCACCAGGCCAGTCCTGGGCTTGGGCTGTGAGGGCGGAGGGTCCCGCTGACCACCCTCAGACCCTGGCCACCCCAGCCGAGCCTAGCACAGCCAACCTGAGGCGGGACCCTCCCTGGTATCTGCAGCTAGGAGGGGCGTCGGGGACAGACCAGGCCGGTGGGCCTTATTTTGTTGCCCTTCTATTTCCCGGCGTCTATTACCTGCCCGTGAATTCAATTTCCAGAGGCCATTGTGCGCCTCCAGGCCGGCGATTATGAGCAGGCTGCGCAGGGGGAAGGCACTGCTGCCACCGTCCCCGCGGGCTTTCATCGCTAACAATGATGGGTGCAGCTGCCAGGCCTCCAGGCTCGGTGGGTGGCGGGCAGCTCCTCCCAGCCCGGCTCCCTCACCGGCGGGGGAGGGGCTCGCCAGCCCTCTGCGCACCAGGACACAGCGGTGAGCTGGGAGCAGGGCAGTGTCCCAACAAAGGCATGGCTGCTGCGGGGTTGGTGGTGACACCCAGCAAGATGAGAGAAGGGAGAGAGTGAGGGGCACCTCGGGAAAGGACGGGCAGGGCAGGGAACGCGCACGCCTGTAATCCCAGCACTCAGGAGGCGAAGTCAGGAGGATCATTGTGAGTTCGAGGCCAGCCTGCGCTACATAGCAGAACTGTGCTCAGAAAGCAAAACAGGAACCAAAAAACAGAGAGAATGAAAAGGAGCGGGTCCCTTCTTCAGAGGGGACAGTACTGCAGCGCAGCACTCAGCAGGGAAGCACACTGCCCCGGGGAAGGGGAGGTGCCGATCAGAGGCCACAGTGCAGCGGGGAGGGCGGGGTCCGGGCCACTCTGAGAGGAGTGCGGCCCAGCCCAGCCTTCCTGCTTGGCAGGGACGGGTGGGGAGGAGACAGCACTGCCCACAGGAAGCTCCGAGTGGGCTCCACAGGCGGGCAGGACTTGGCCCTGGGGGAGGGACCGACCACAGCCTCCCGGCAGCGCCTGTGAGTAAGTGGCCAGACCAGCAGAGGGACTGGAGGGCAGGCGGCGGGAACCCAGGGGACCAGGGCACTGCCCGGGGTCTCTGCGGCTTCTCCAGCCAGAGCCAGAGACATCCGTGGAAAGCAGGGGTATGGTGGGCCTAGCTAGGGGTGATTTGGTCAGGTCCTGACCCCACCACTTCCTGGCCAGACAGCCTTAGACCCACCTGCCCGCTCCCTCACCTCCACAGGCAGGTCCGGCATTTGCCTGGGGCTCGCTGGGAGTGGCCCGGCACATGTGGGACTCCGCCTTGGGGACAGGCCCAGGAGGCATTCGTGTGTGTTGCTGAGCACCCTGTGCCCTTTCAGGCCCCCTGGCTTCCTTCACAGTGTGCACCTGAACCGCGTTCTCACCCAGTCTTGAAAACTCCTCTGCTTTCACCAGAGCCCAAGCCAGATAGCCCCTTGTCTCCCAACCTACCCCTGCTTGTTAGTCCTTCTGTGCTCCTCGGGACGCTTGGGGCTCCGCATCTGTGTCCCCAGCGTGTATTCAGTTCCAGCCCCTTTCTACACCGTTGACTCCAAGGAAACAGGCCCGGCTTCTACTTGCATCCCTAACCATTGGCCATGCCGGGCTCAGCCGCGGGAGGGTGGGGTTGAGCAGGAGGCCACCCCACCTTGGGACACCCTTCTCTCTGGTGGTGCGGGAGGGTGTGGCTGGCAGAGGGAGGAGAGGCTGACGTGCGCTTCCCTCTGTCCCCCCTCCTTGTTCTTGGGTCCTCCTCTTCCGCCGCTCACTGCTCTGCCGCCCTCTCCCGTGCGGCTGCGCCCCGTCGCCGGCCCCCTCACCGTCTGGGCTCTCCCAGAGCCCCGGAAGAAGAAGCGGTCCGCGGTGTTGGATGGGATCCTGCAGCAGCTGGAGGACAGCGCGAGCGACGGCGAGGAGCAGAGCCTTCAACTGTGAGCTGGCACTGCGAGGTGCGTGGCGGCGGGGCCCCGGGGGGACAGGGACAGCCGCTCCGGCTCGTGCACTCCCCGCGCGTGGGCTGGGGGTGGGGAGCGGCAGGGCCCCGCTTGCTGGGTGCAGGGTCAAAGTGGATCCCAGCCTCGGTCCAGCAGCCAATGCCTGTGCATCTTGACAGCAGGTGCCACCCGCGCACCTGGAGAGACCCCGGCCTGGGCCTGGTCCTCGCCCCCCAAGGCCTCCGTGGGAAGCAGACCAGCACCGCAGGCACGCCGTGCTGCGCCCCGGACTCCTGCCTTCCTCACCTCGGGCTGCCACTGGGAAGCCACCTGCGTCTGTCCCAAGGACTAGGCCTCCATCCTGTGCATCCTGATCACGGGGGCCTGAGCCTACCTCTGTCACCCCGAGACATCTCCGAGTGGCTCCAACACAGGCTGACTGGACACGCCCAACTGGGACACATGGGGGCTTGGAACACTGCAAGGGTCCGACCCAGCAAGCAGCGTCCCCAGCTAGTCCCCAGCAAGGAGCACTGTGTGCACACCCTCTACACCCCAGGAGGGCCAGCACAGCCCCAGGCCAGGTGACACAGAGGAGAGAGGGGGCCGTAGCCCCTCAGCTCCGGTCCAGCTCCCCACACAGCACCTCCAGCCATGCAGTCCGGACCGTGCCGGCCCCAGATGCTCGGTCATTCCTTGTGTCTGGCGGGATGAGAGCTGCCTGCCTCGGGTGGGGGTGCTGGAGAACATGAAGTGGGTCCAGTAAACCCTCAGTGTCACCTGCGCTTGTGGCCGCCTTCATTTGGGACCAGAGGTGATGTCTAGGGACGCCCTGGGTCCTTGCTGCTTTCCGTGTGTGTGTGAGGCTCCGGTCCTGTGCAGCTCTCAGAGTGGCCTGGACCCCCACCCGGGCTGTGTGGTACCAGGTGGACAGCCCATCACCCTGACTCGCCCCTGAAAATTAGCAGTGCGTACAGAAACCCAGAGCAGCTGTGCCCCTGCTTCTCCAGTGAGGTGCCCTGCAAACGGCACAGTGGCCGCAGCGGGTAGGGCCATCAGGGACCAGGCCCCGAGGGGGTGACAGGGCTGGGACTGCCCTGCTCCGTGCTGCTCTTCCATTGCTGGGCGGTAGCACATCCTGCTGGAGCCTCCTGGGGCGAGTGGTTTGTGTGCGCATGTCCCCACCCCGCGGGCAGGGGACAGCCTCTTGAATGCCAAAAATAAGTCACAGCCCTGTGGGCCTAATACAGAAAAGGCAGAGACAGGCACTGTCAGACCCTCCCCCAGCAGGGCCCACGTTCTCTGCTGCTCAGCGTCGTGGGGCACGGCCAGGCACTCCCCAAGCCCGGGCCAGCTGGCTTCAGCGGTGCCACCCCACTTGGCAGCCTTGGAAGCCAGGCAGTGACTTCTGCACCCTTGGTGTCCTCATCCTTAGAGTGCGTGCTGCGGACAGCACCTGGTCACAGAGCTCTCCGCACGCATCTTGGGTCACACAGCGTCGTGAACGGTGTATAAATCTGCGCCTTGGAGCAGCCCAGAGGCCTGGGCACAAAGACACAGCTAAAGGAGTAGCCAGAGGACAGAGCGCTGCCGCTGCTCACCAGCCCAGCCCGGAACTGGCCGGGGTGGGGTCCCTGCCCCTGTCATGGCTCATATCTGGAATGTCCGCGAAGGCAGCTGTGTCAAGAGTGGGGCTTTGGGAAGGTGACTGAATCGCAGGGCGTGAACATCGCGAGTGGACTCGTCCACAGAGGAGCTCGAGGCTGAGCGTGCTGTCAGGCGGAGGTCGCCGGGGCTGTCTCTGTAAGGGGTCTTCTGTGTCTCTCTGCCGCCGTGGACTGCACCTGCTGAAACCCAGCTAAGTAAACCCCACCTCATTTCAGTTGTGGGTGGGCAGGTATTGTGTGCCAGCAAAGGAAATGTAACTAATGAGCCCCTCAGCCTGGCGTCTGTACCCCGTCCTGGGGTCACACTGGGGAGTGGAGCTGCCAACAGATAGGGGCCCCAGAGTCCCTCTCACCCCCGCCATCACCCACAGCCGAGTCTTCATAGGCAGCCAGCGCAGTCTGTGGCTGGATGCAGGAACTGGATCACATCATTCCAGAGGTTAAAGCCTCACGGCCGCCTCCGTACACCAAGAACGGAGCCATGCTGCTTGCCCCAGTGCCAAGGCCCGGCCTGTCCCACAGCGCTGGGGCCTCCCCAGTAGCTCCCCACCTTGGGCGCTTTGCATGTGCTCTGCGCCCCTCATCTTTTCTGTCTGGCTCCTCTTGTTCCCCCCGAGATCTGAGTTCGGGTTCTACTCGAGCTGTCGTCTGGCCAGTCGATCTGCAGAGCCACACTCAGTCCCTGTCCCCAAGCCCGGTTCCTTTCGGTTACAGCATTTAACACAGGAGACAGTCTGGAGTTTAAGGATCTCCGTGCCCTGCGCCCTGTACCTCTTCCAGTGAGTGCTTGAAGCAGCTGGCTGTCATTTTTAGCGTCAGGATCATCATCCTCATTATTCTCGATGAGGTTGGAGCAAGGTGATTGGGCAGTGAAGCCAGGTGCGAGGCCACCCAGCCCAGAGGACAGCACAGAGGACCAGGCACCCTGGGCGTGCAGTTCAGCAGGGATGCGTCATCAGGGTGTGTGGGCCGATCTCAAGGCTGCTGTGGCAGCAAGAAAGTGACAGTCACCATCCCACGGGGAGCGGGGCCTTGGGGACATTTCCGGGACGACGGTGGTCCCACACCCAGGAGAGGTGGGGAGACCCCGGAAGTGATGCCGGGCGAAGTGATGCATGTGGACAAGCTGCCAGCGTGAAGTCTGTGGGTCGTGGAGACGGGTGCAGGAGGCAAGGCTGGCCACTTGTCAGGGGTCAGGAAGGAGCTGAGAAGAGAACTGTGACAAGGTTCAAACAGAACAAGTTCCTGGAGACCCGGTGAGACCAGGGCATGCGCCCCGACAGGAGGCCATGGCCTGGGGTGCTCAGAGAGGAGCTTGGGTGGGAGTCGGGGTGCTGTTTCCTATTTATCCTCGCACCCATCCCTGCCCGTGTCCACTTGGGGCTGGCGAGGGAGACAGGCAGAGCGTCCCTGCCTGACCCCTGCCCCTGGTGACCTCCCTGCCAAAGGTCCAGGCTCCTCACAGCCAAGTTGTCCTCTCTGAAGGCCCAACTCAGCTTGGGGCCGATCCACAGTTCACAGGAGAGCTCTGGAGCATGGGTGACCCCAGAGCACGGCGCAGACTCTCCACCCAGTGTGCTGCCTACATCCCCCAAAACATGAGCTGCACCCCGCAGCCAGCTCCAACCCCAAGGCAAGGACGGAGCCACGAGACCCCTGAGCTCAGGATTCCAGCATGAGCACCTGGACTCAGGGAGGCTGCCGGCAGCTTGTCACCAGGAAGGGACAGGCACAGAGAGAGTGTCCGCCCTGCAGACAGGAAGGGACGTGGCCCAGGCAGAGCTGCAGAGCAAATGCCTCAGGTGTCTGCTGCGTGTCCACTGGGCTTCCACCATGTGCTGGGCACCCAGGTGCGAGGACGGAGACCCAGGTGGCCCCTGCGTGCCCCCTTGGAGTGTGTTCCCAGCTGGGTGGCCCCAGGGTCTGTCCCAGGCTTCCAGACTCTGGCGTGAGGCAGGAGACAGTCTCCAGCAGCCGAGGCCAAGGCCGGCTGCATGTCCTCCTGCCCCCCCAGCGCCTTTCCGGACGGTTCCGTTTTGTCTTTTGTGCAGGCCTGATCCGCTCTCGGTCGCAGGCGGCGGCTGGGACAGGATTAGCGGGGGCCGGGCACACAGGCTTTGGTGAACAGAGCCCAGCTCAGTTTCAACATCTAATTCAATTTGTTCTGCCGAGATTGAAATATGAAATGGTTGCCAGTCAGACGTTCAAAGGACGGGGAGGGGGAGGGGGCACCTGCTGAAATTTAAATTTTAATGAAAGTGACTTTAACCCTTTGGCGTGCCTTGGGGTAGCAGAGTGCCCCTCCCATGAGTAGAGCCGGGTAGGGGCCCTGCCTCCTCACTCCTCTCTCCCTCCCCGAGGTCACTTACAGTAACATGTGGTCACTCGCGATATTAGTAAAGAGAGATGAGGAGGTGAGTGAGTGGCACCTTCCAACAGGCCTCTTCCCCAAGCCCGCATGGGACACCGGCTCCCTTAGATGACCCAGTGATAGCAGTGCCTCGCTCTTCTTCCTCCTGTGTCCCCCAGACTGTGACCCCAGCAGGGCAGCACCCAGGCCTGTTCTGTGCCTGTCAGGCCTGATGCATCCTTGGTGCTTTGTGAAACGAGCGGCCCCCTCCCCTGCCAGCAGCTGTGGGAGTGAGCATGCTCCCAGGAGAAGGGTGTGTGCAGGGCCCCGGGCTGGGACTGGCGGCAGTTCGCTGGGACGTCCTCGCACACAGCTCAGAGGTTTCCAGGTTTGTTGTTCCTGTTGCTTGTGGTCGTGTTTCGTTGGTGACTCTGGCGATGGGGTGGGGGGTGTGGGGCCTGCTAAGGCAAGCGCTGCACCACCCAGCTACACCAAGCTCTGGTTCATCCTGAAGCCGCTTTCAGATAATTAATTCCAAATTATTTTGGCCACAGAACCTCTTTTCCAAAGAAAAATCTGACGCAAACCCAGCATAAAAACCAGAGAAATTGAGAACTGCTGCATCCAAAGTTGGGGTGCAGGGCTCCGCCCTCCCACATTCATCTCCCTGCTCAGGACCTCAGTAGTAGAAAGACATCCCCAGGAGCAGGAGCCTGGACCTGAGATGCAGGAGGTGATGTTAGGAGCCCAGGTGCTTCTTTTTTTAATTTTTAATTTACGGCTTTTTTTTCACATGTTTGGCATGACCACAGATCCGTAACTACCTCACCCAGGCTGTGACATGCCATGTAAGGAAAGCCGGTGAGTTGTTACGAAGAAAAATGTCAAGTAAATGCATTTAATGAAACAAACATGATAAGGACTTGACATGAATGATTCAAAATGCAGATCAGCAAACTATAATCCAAGGGCAGACCCAACTGCTGTTTGTATTATAAATAAAGTTTTATTGGAACACAGCCATGCCCATCGGTTTCCATATTGCCTGCGGCAGGTTGCTGCGCACGGCCGGCCGAGGTGAGAAGTTATCACAGAACTCATATGGTCACAAAGCCTAAAACATGTACCGTGTTGTGCATCAGGTACGCCGGCTGCCAAATGCTCACTTTTCAGGCCAAAGAGCCAGACCAGATAGGTCCGGAGTGGCAAAGCTCCCTGCTGTGGCCCTCCCTGCTCTGTCTCACTGCTTTGCTCTCTCAGATACCTCCTGTTCTGCCACTTACCCACGGGTGACCTTGAGCAAGCTCTTTGTCCTCCGCGTGCCTGGAGTCCTCACCTGTGAACCAAGACTGCAGCACACCGGGGTTGGAGGACTGAGTGGATCAAACAAGCCAAGGGCTTGGGAAGGTGCCTGCCACACTGAACGCCACACAGCCTCAGCTGTCGCTACCCCACCCCCCAGCACAGTGGCAGCGCCCCCCACACCCATCAGGCTCTCCTTGCCCCCCAACACCTGGGAGGCTGGGATGTTCCAGCCCAAACCCCAGGAAGGACCCTGTGATCTCATCACAGCATCACCAGGAGCCAGGTTGCCTTCCCCTCCAGCTTCCTTAATGAACCCCACTCGCCCTTAATTGCAGCCCTTGTGAAGACAATGCGTAGGGCTTGTGGTGCCCCAGCCTTGGGCTCCAGCCAACAGCCAGTACTTTTGTCTTTGCAGATTTGCAGATGGCAGCTGCTCCTGCCTTCCCTGGGAACTGTCCCCCCTGTCCTTGTCCCCCAAAGACTCCAGGTGACTATCACTGCCACCTTGTGCACCTGCAGCTTACAAAGCGCTTCATTCAATTGCTCAGTGAAGTCCTGGTGGAGTCACAGGCAGGGGCTGGCAGCCCTGCTGCACAGAAGAGGAAACTGAGGCTGGAGAAATGAACTGAGCTAAGGTCCCAGGAAGGAGCAGGCAGCTCATGGGGGAAGTGTCCTTGTGAGGCACAGCAGGAAACACCTGCAAGTCCCAACGGTGTTGGGTGTGGGGCTGGACAGTTGGGGTCCAGACCCCGCCCCCAGCATCTGCCCTCCGAGCAGTTGTGCTCTGGGGCTCCGGCAGCAGTGCTCGCAGTATTAGCCTCTCCTTGCATTAGGTGTGAGTGGTGAGATGTCTTGTGTACCCTGAATCATAAGCCAGTGTCTTCCCTTGGTGCTCAACAAAACAGCAGCAGCACATTGAGGCTGGACACCAGCTGTGCTGGCCCTCCTGGGGGATGTGCAGAGAACCAGACATGTCCTGCTGCTGGGAAACACAGGACACGGGCCCGCCAAGAGGTTGGAGGTGGCCTTCTGTCCCAGATGACAGCTGGGATCTCCTTATCTGCCCTGCACTTCCACCAAGCGAGCAAAAGCCTTCCCCAGCTCAGGAACACCACCTGGATGTTCTCACAGGGTCCTGCCCACATCCCTGTGGCCAGGGCACAGGACATGGTAGACCCTAGCTGCAAGGGATGCGGGGAAGTAGGGTCTTACTCCTGGAGTCTGCAGTCCCACTAACCCTGAGGCTCTTGGTCAGACAGAAGCAGGAGGGTACTGGTACAGACTACAGCTTCTGCCACATCTCGGCTTCTGCCAGGGCACCTCCAGGGCATTTTCAAGGCCTGCTGAACTACCCTGAAGGCCACCTTTTGTACTGACTTGCAAATTTCACCTACATAAGCCCATAATAAAAGTTATAAAACCTGGTGTGTTCTTCACTTGTTGTCTCTTGTTGGCTGTTTCTATTTTTTATATTATCTGTTAAACCTGGGGCCTTTGTACTGAGCCACATCCCAATCTTTTTAAAATTTACTTATTTATTTATTTTAGACAGTCTTGATAAGTTGCTAAATTGTCCTGGGTGGATTCAAACCT